GGCATATCAGACCTCCCGTTGATTCCGATAACAAGGATATCTTGCCTGTGGACGAGCACAGCGCTCAAGCTTCGACCACAAGCAAAGTATCGTTGCGCGAACTCAAGAGGCAAGCGTATTCCCCAAGTACTCTCCATAACCACAAATCGGATCTGCGCAAGCGGCGGGGTGCGAATACTTTATCTCCCCATAGCGCGAGCAGGCATCTGTCGGGTCACTCCAAGGGCCAACCAAATATGAAGTTGCGGATGAACGCGATGTTAGAAAAAATTAAGCGTGACTTGTGTTAGGTGGGCAGCGTGATTCGTAGGTAAGTGAATATATATCGCAGAGAACACTCTGACGTGCTTGATTTTCGTTAGTATCCTACATCCCATGATTGTTCCCTTCTTTTTCCTTGCCGTCAGTGCCGTTGACCGTCATCCCTGTCTCACCCTGTTTGACCTGTTCTCCACCTCTGACGAATCTACTCTCCAACGTCTCGATGAAAGGATGGGCAGCCGTCACCGCCGTGATCGCGGTTGGGTGGTCACTCATGTGACCAGGTCTTGGATCGTCGAGCTCATCGACCAGTCCAATTGCCCGCTGTGGTAAAGCTTCCCCTAGAGGTTCTATGTTACTAGCCGCCTCCATCGCGGCGAGTGTGAGGGGAGAAGGGGGTGGACTGCGCGACTTTGACCGTCTTGTATCGCCATGTAAGAACGGGATGGGTGAGAACATGGGTGTAGACGGTGTAGACTGGGTGGCAAAATTGACTTGAGCACTCCCAACGGAAAGTCCATTTTGTGACGTCTCCGGCGGGAAGGAATTCCATGTCGAGGTCACGAGTAGAGACCTCTCTACAGCACGGAGATATTTGCCTATGGCCTTGTAGTGTTTCTTCGGATGCACACAGAGTTCACAGACACGTTGAATAGTAAAGGGAGGACTTCTAGACACACATCTGATCAAACTCCTGGAGCTAGTACATGATTTACCCACTCGTCAAATTCGTGGAGCTGTTTAAATATGAGTGTTTTCAATTCGTCGGCCTCTTCCCGGTTCATGTGCACTTTCGGAGCCTCGATAGGATTCAATTCATTCGGTTTATGAGGCGGAAAGGGAGGGAGCCTCAAGTTGCCAAAGCTATCGGGAACACCGGTGGGCAACGTGGGCGAACCATTGCTAACCTCAGTGCATTGTTCAGCGTCTGAAAGGAAAATAGCGACATTCTACGCTCTGATGTCAAGGTCGAATGTCGGTGAAGACAGACCGATCCACGAACGAACCTGCTCCAGCTTAAATTTGATCATCTCCCGAAGCTGACTCCATTCTATTCTGCCGTGAGAGGGCTGGTCAGCTCGGACGACTACGCGCAGGATAGCGTTCTAACTCTGATCCTACGATGTCCGTGGCAGCTATGCGATCCAGTACTGCCTCATAGGCTGTACGCGTATGGTGAGCCCGTGGCAGAGCATAACAGCGCACGACTAGCTCCTACCCGGATCCCATTGAAAAGTTGGTGACAGCTGGTACGTCGCTGCGGTTTGTGACATTGTGTGGAGTGGGGCACTGCGGTGGGTGCTGTGGTGAGGATTGGCACGGCGATTACATAATCGGATCACGCTGATCGTCCCGAACGGTGGCTTGCCATTTATTCGACACGCTTTTCTGGGCTGTCCCACTTTGTTTTATTTTTCATCCCTCACAGAACGCCTCCAGGTCAAAAATTATCACGATGACCGCACTCCGACAATATCTCAGTACCGGCACCACCAAGAAAACGGACAACAAAAGACGCCTCCAGCTACTCAAGTCATACGCCCCTGACTGGTGCGTCGTTCTGTCAGCCAAACCTGCCGTGCACTCACTCGCCGTCGCGTAGGATTATTACCATCGCTTTGGCGTACGCCGCTCCACGACCCGTATGGTTGAGTCACTCATCTGTCTCGTAGAGCTGTTTTCTTTGCACTGGACGGTGTACATGGCTTCAGGCGGGAGTTTTCCGTCGACGACGAGACGTGAGCTACGGTTTACTATCAAATATACTCAGCTCACCGCCGCCCACTACATAGGTTACGATTTCCGTACGTTCACCATTTGTCAGTCTGTCATTGACTGACCGTGACGATGCAGTTATGCTGTTCACGAACGCGTCCCGGTAAGATGACACGATTCCCATATGCTCTCCGATTCTCACATTCATTCTCTAGACATGGGCACTGTATATAATTGCCCTCGTGGCCCCTATAGTCATTCAGCTCTTGGTAAACTTAATCACTATCCGCTCGTTTTGGGATTTCCATAACAGCGTGCTCGGACGTACGTGCATTCGCAGCACTCGTTTCATGTGTATGAGCTGAAATGTCTCACAGTTATTCTGGGCCTCGCGATCACGGGGGCCATTACCCAGTTTTCTAAGATTACCACCGGTCGGCCTCGACCTGGTGAGGCTTAAACGAGCTTTACAAAAATATCATTCACTAAAACTACGACTTACTTCATACGTTCAGACATACTGTCCCGTTGCATCCCGGTGGCTGGGTCTCAAGATCCGACTTATGGCTTGTCCAGTGATGCCATCTGTACTCAGACCGATGATTCCATCATGATCGATGGTTGGCGCAGCTTCCCAAGTGGACACTCTAGTCGTACGTAGTCATTTACGAATCTCCACTTGCACGTCTCACGCGAGACGGTGGCAGTTTCTTTCGCGGGACTCGGCTTCTTATCTTTTTACTTGGCGGGAAAAATGCACCTCTTTGACAAACGGGGACACGCGGTACGTCCAGCAATATACATACGTCAACCAGTTCTGACTTGTCACTGATTAGCACAAGGCGTGGATATCTCTAGCTCCATTTTCCGGCGCAACCCTTGTTGCCATCTCTCGCACAATGGACTACAGACGTATGTTCCCCCATGAAGCTTGACCCGTCACATCGAATGCTTAACCATTATCAGATCACTGGCGCGATGTTGTAGCTGGAGCTATTTTGGGCGCTGCTATCGCTTATTTTACCTATCGGCAATATTTCCCGTCACTTGCTTCACCCATGTCCCACCGCCCATATTCCCCACGCGTTCCCCGCGACGAAGATGTTTTACCCACTTCTACCTCTCACGGTGGCTCACGGTACAGCGAGAGCGGCGAGGCTGCAGAACAACTTGAACTCATCGACGGAGGTGTGCGTAAACCCGATCCGGGACCTCTGGAAGAGATCTGGCGTCAGGGTGGCGACTCAACAGGTAACGATACAGAACGTGCTTGAGAACGATCTTGGTGACTGGACTCATGTGGTTACATTGCGCCTTGATATGGATTCGCTCCCGTAATACTTTTCGAAATCGAAAAAGCCAGATACGATTTATATAGTCCTAATTTTCATTCGTGGTCTCCTGGCCACTTCGGCCGGTTGCATTGTGCGCGATCCCGATGTCCGATCCGTGTCGGTGTCAAGTTAACAAGCCATTTTGTCCGAGCGCTGCTGAAGACGTTTGCCGATAGATCCGATTTCAGTCGGCTTGTTCTGCTACTTAAGGCCAGGACGTGCAAGGTCCTCGACTACAAGATTCTTGTTCACCTCATTCTCGTCACAGATGACGCGCGTTCTCAATTTTGGCGCAGGTCCTTCGGCATTGCCGGAGTCCGTGCTGAAGCAGGCTGGCGAGGGCCTCCTGGACTTCCAGGACACAGGCATTGGCATCGCGGAGATCTCGCACCGCTCGAACGAGTTTAAGACTTACCTCCAAGGTGTCGAGTCCGACATCAAGAAACTACTCAAGGTCCCGGACAGCCATGTGATTCTCTTCACTCAGGGAGGAGGATCAGCACAATTCTCTGCCGTCGTATTGAATATGCTAGCTAGACATCACGAACTCTACCCCGCGCTCGAACCGCAACAGCGAGTGATGGACTATATAATCACAGGATCGTGGAGCGACAAAGCAGCGAAGGAGGCAAGGAGACTGGGGGGCGGAACGGTCAACGTCGTCGTTGATTCGAGGAAGTTGTCAGCTCAAGAAAAATTCGATAACATACCCAGTCACAGAAGTGACACCTACAAGTTCTCGAGGAACCCCGTCCTCATTTACTACTGCGCCAACGAGACTGTCGATGGGGTAGAGTTCTCCCGCGATGAAGGCAACGAGACCTCGTTCCCTTTCCACCTCCTTCCTGAGCATGCGCCCCTGGTCGGGGATTACTCTTCCTCCTTCATGTCACATCCTATTCCTCGCCTACAAGACCACGCGATTATCTATGCCGGAGTGCAGAAGAACCTTGGTCCGGCGGGATTGACGGTACTCATCGTCAGAAAGGACTGCATCGTCGATGTAGACAAAGCCACTCAGAACGGTGCTCCACCTGTTCCATTGTGCACTGCATATCAGACGCTAGCTAAGCATCACAGCTTGTACAACACCCCTCCCGTACTGTCGATTTATATTACCGGACTCGTTCTCAGGAAAATGATACAGGACTTTGGGGAAGACGCGCTGGAGAAGTATGCCGCACTTTCCGCAAACAAGTCCGCCAAGGTATACGACGCGTTGAAGAAGGGAGAGGAAAACGGTGTCTTCAAAAGTAAAGTTAGGGGTGACTCTGGCAGTCAGATGAATGTCGTTTTCGACGTCAGTCGGCGAGGACAAATTAAACGAGTTTATTGCTGGTGCGGAGGCACTAAACATGAAGGGGCTGCGTGGGCATCGGTGGGTTCTGCTCAGAACAGTTTAGATTCACGAGGACTGACGAGATCCTGCAGGTCTGTTGGAGGTGGGTCAACGATTTGTTTTCCATCTTACTTGACGGACCAACTCATTGGCAGGTGTCCGAGTTTCGCTTTACAACGCAATCACCGAAGACCAAGTCCAGACGCTGGTAGATTATATGACTAAGTTTTCCGAGGGGAAGAGCGTGCCGTAGCACAATGCATGTAATATTTATCTCGTACAGGGAGAAGCAGGGTTGTGTGTGGAGTCAGCAGGACCATATCAGAGACTATCTGCAGTCCAGGTTTCAAGTCACTTTGCCGGAGTGGTTAACGGGATCGCCTGCTATAAGTCAAGCGGTTGGGCTTTGCCCGCGTGTGTTCGAATCGCACAGGTGACGCTTTTTTGTGTCGGATTATTTTCCGTTTCCGTCTCAATGTTCCGTCGCTACAATAGTTGACACAGACACCCAACAATTTGTACATGCCCCATGGCTGAGTTGGTTACAGCGTCCGACTGTTACTACCTCCAAACATCGGAAGGTCGTGAGTTCGAGCCTCACTGGGGCAGATTCCTTTTTCATTTTCTCTCGATGGCATCCGCAGGTATCGGGTACGAGGAACACGGAAGCATGTGAGGAAGCGAAAGTTGGAACTTTGGAGCTTGAGAGTCTTCCGACAGCCTTCGATAAATTTGAACTCGCAAAGCTTATTCGCGTCTTCTTCATCTCTTGCCGTTTCAATTCTCCTCCATGCATCTTTTCCACTGATGATACTGCCTATCCTTTCACGTGAACAAGCACTTGGATGACGACCTCATATTTAGGAAGTTGGACGGGAAGCGTGTGAGGAACACAACTTCGGGCTGGTGCGACCCTTATGATGTTAGCTATAGTTCGAGCGGCTGCTCGATAGGACAGTAGTATAGTAGGGAGATGGTAGCGTAGCATTGGTATCGTCCGACACATCACCTTAAGTTGGTCGCCTCTAAATATCTACTTTGAGGTCAAGGCGCAGCCTGGGATACCAAACTACGTGGTGGAATCGGATTGGCGACACGGATAGGTGGGTACTCAGCGGACGAGTTACACCCAGTGCTTGCGTGGGTTAAGCTGAGAATTGAATTAGCGACAATGGGTGGGGTGCTCAACGCTGACGACTGTTCCTCCTCTGTGCCGTCAGTGCTCTGCATTCACACGGTAATGCGGATGGGATCGAAGAGTGAAGACATCGTCATCGTCGTCCTCGCCTGCAGAAGTGGCAGAACGTGCAAGGGACGATTAGGAGTTGGTAACAGATGTCGAGCAGTAGTTGGCTGCGGGATCATTTTGATTCGAGAGGTAGACCCATTTCCACAGGGAGTATTTGCATACCCATAAAGCTTCTTAACATCCTCACACTCAGCTTGCCAACGGTGGACCCCTTAGCTTGCAAAGCTCCAACGGCTGTTTCTGTTTGACTAACCAGACCACGATCGTGCAGTTCGTCATTGTAAACCCGGAGTCCTACCGGGAAAGATCTGGTAGGGTTTGATGGTATTCTTCTAGCGACTTCAAGGGGAGAGAGGGAGCCTGGAGTTCTGATTTCGATGTTGCAGACGTCCGCGATATATCTAAGGCACCAGCAGCAGCAACCACCAGAGACCAAATCTTGCGTGTGGCACGTGACTTCCTTGTCGTTGTTAGTGAGGGGCACGTGAGTAGGAGCCCCTATATGCCGACGCAACCGCTCCTGGAACTCATTAGACTGTCTGAAACACGTGCCTCAACCCAGCTAGTTGTGCTTGTACTAATATGCATTGCTGTCAGGTCACTGTGGCCCTGATACCACTCCACTCATGCTGGCTCTAGACATGGATCTTTTTGTTACAGTCCTTTGATGACTCTTAGTGAAATGCACGCATGATGTTTTGGCAGTTCCGATGAACCTGGGAAGCAAAGCTCTTGTAAGACAACTACATCGTTTCTCGTACGAAGGCCAGTGTCCCCAGCGATGAGGAAAGTAACTCGAGGATCCGTGCGCTTTCCTTTTTTTGCAACTCCAACAATTCCTTCAACTCTAACTGCAGTTCCACATTCTCAACGAGAATGTCTCCGTGCAGCCGTAAAAAGACATTCTGTAATGTCTGAATCCCTTCGAAGTCTCGGTGAGAAAGTAGCCGCTGTTTTAAAGCACGAAGGAACTGCCGGTGATGATCAAGTGTAACCAACGACCGTAGCTCAACGTCGATGGCGGCGGGAGACAAACTCTTGATGTAATCGAATAGGTCGTCTACTGCGGGAGACAATGAAACACGATTGAGAAGTAACATGCAGATTAGTACTGACGTTGACCCTTATCCAATCCTGCTAGTTTCTTCTCGAAGGTACTCTTAGACTTTGCCATCGCCTTGTCAAAACGCGCCTTCTTGTCAGTAGCATCGGATTGTTTCTGGTCAACTGCGAATCGATGCTCCACCCCGGGCAGAGTGGGAAGGAAGAATGGCGCTTGTTCGGGTTTTTTGGGTGGTTCTTTGGGTTTGTTGCGTTGCTGGATTCAGAACGTAAGTTACAAGTATGTCGGTAGCTTCCTTCCCACCACCAACCTCGATAACCTCAAGATTCAACAGGGTTTGCCATCGCGAACGTGGTAATAACGTCAACGTCACGAGGTCCCCATCCAGCTGAGGCGGCGTAGAGAATACGTCCACAGGTTTATCCTCTAACGTCAGTGCAGTCAGGGCTTCTAGATCTTTGAACATGTCAAGCATAGAAGACCCGAGAAAGATCATTCACTTACTTTCGTCCTCAACCTCGCCTTGCATTGAAGGCATTGAAACTTCTGCCAAGTCCTCCTCGGAGACGGATCGGAATCCAACTTCCGCAAACTGGGCACGGTTTGCCCTTTTATGGTTAGGACGAAGGTTCAGCCATCATCAAGAAGGGCAACCTACCAAAGAAAGACGCCGACACTGTCTACGTGGGCTGTCGCTAGAAAATCTCCGGTGGGCGAAAACGCGATACTTGTAGCTGTACTTGGTACGCGAAAAGCGTCTATAAGACGAGAAGTGGGAATGTCAAACGTTCTTATTATGGAATCCAGCGATGTGATTACGATCCACCGGGAATCGGGTGAAAATGCCTGGAATACGGTCAGTCAGCTGTGACGAACGGCAAGAAGGAATGGCCTTGCAATGTCTAGTATTCGACCCTTCGAACCGCAGACTAGCTCCCTGACGACTCGCCTCGTTTCGATATCAATGACACGAACTGTCATGTCACCGCAAGTTGCGGCTAACAGCCCTGAACTACGGTGTAGATTTATTGACGAGACCGGTGCGGATAGTGTTAGGGTATGCTGCAGCTTTGTCGTGTGGAAGTCAAAGAACTGGAATTTCGGAGTTAAGTACATCACCCGGCTTTGCGGTTACGGAAACGACATACGTTGATCGTCCCGTCCTGCGTACTTGCAATGACGACGCGGTTCAAAGCGTCTGTAGCTAGCCCCGTAATGACGCGATCGCCTTTCTTAGTTTCCACTTTCGCATTTAGTATTTCAGTTGCAGTCTGTAGACGTGGCCCAAGTTTGAAGGCTTTCCGCTTGATGCCAGATTGCATATTCCACATAAGAATTTCGCCTGTCGATGAGCCTGCAATGCCAAAGTTGCCGCATTCCGTAACGCAAACGCACTGCGTGACTTTTGTCTTATTAAGGGCACACTTAGTGTGATCAACATGACAAACCTTCACGATGCCTGAACGTGTGTTCCGTTTAGAGCTCTCGTGATAATTCCAGGTATGCTTTCCAAGGCGTTTGTTGAGCACGCTCCAAGAACGTACCAAAGGCTCATCCACATGTGCTGTAAGCACGTCATCCCAATCTTTCGACCTGGTTGTCGAGAACGAGATGGAAGTGACTGGCGGAAACTTGAGAGAGGAGAGGGATTTCGACAGGGTGATAGCCTTGCGCGCAAGAGAACCTTGTCACAGAAGAATGAATGTAGACGTTATCTACAAAAAAGGTTGACTACCCTACCTTGGGACAATTCAAAGGAACGTGAGTCACGGACGACAGAAGTGTACCGGAGACTCCGGTCAGCCGAAGCGGTCAACAACTGTTTGCCATCTTCGCCGTAATACCTAATAAGGTGAGGGGGAGCGTGGTGCCCCGCCCGCAACTTGAGCAGCCTTGGGGCAGCCGTTGGAGAGTCAAACAGCCATTGCTGTCCTCGGTAAGCAACATAAAAAAGGAATCGTAGAGTGTTCGACTAACCTTGACGCTATTATCTTCTCCAGAAGTTATTAGCACCGGCTGCCCCGGAACCCATTCTGCACTTGTGATACCGCCGTCGTGCGCGCCTCGGACGAGGTGAAGAAGGCGGCCTCCAGCATTTAAGTCCCAAAGTGCCAAATGACCCAACGATGACACAGAGGCCAGGACTGGGTTTCCATCTGAAATTTATCGTTAGTAATCATCCGAAGTGTTCCACGTCAACTGACCGCTTCGAAAACAGAGGGCTCTAATGCCCCCACCCTCCATGAACATCCTCATGAGCCTCTCATCAGCGCGTATATCGTACACGGAGATTTCTCCAGACATAAATCCCACGCCGACCACGTCAATTGCAGGCGACTGTGCTAAGGCTACAATTGGACTCGGAAGGGGACTAGAGCTCGATATTGTTAGTAATTTTGGGGTAGAAATGGCGTGTATACAAGTCCTGCGTCGACAAAAACAAGTAAGCACCGCTACCTGCCAGGGCAATTTAACGTACTGTGTGCGTATATTCCATAATTGCATTTGACCCTCTCGGCTTGCTACCAGGACTTTGTTCAAATAAGTTGCAGGATGCAACATCCGAGCTGCGGTGAAACCGATATCAAAGTGGATGGTGGCGAAAAGAGATGGCCCTGTAAGCTGTCACTAAAAGAGGTATACCCCGTCGCCGAGATTGCTGACCGGAAACATCCCAAATCAACATACGTGTTCCGTCTTCTGTGAGAGCAAGGAGGTGTGATCCAAATAAAATAAGGGAAGATAAAGTGGAACCCAGGGGATTTGTCACCCTCAAGACCTTAAAGCCTCATGAGAAACGTAGCAACAATTCAGCAAATGTACAAACCTCTTTTCCTCTGATGTACTTGATAGCATGCACACCTGAAGCACACCAAACTGCATCACCGTCCATGGCTACACAGGAGATAGGATCCTCAACCTCTGGACCTGTTAATCACGTTATATGGAATAGCCAAACGGTCAGGAAGGATAGACTCGCCAACGAATAAGAGCGTCATCTTCCCGCCTTCCCATAATGCCCATGACTTCCCCAGACAAGTTAGAATATGAATGCGTGGGCCATCCGTGGCTCCTTTGTGGGAACGGGTTTGCATGCAAAATGGGATTTCATTCGTTATGAGACCGA